CTGGTAGGAGGCCCCATTACCAACCGTCTGAGCATTTCAGGCTGTTGGAAAATGTACAGGGAAGGCCAACACTGCGAATCTGGACAGACGAGCACACAAAGTAAAATAATAGACTGAAAAACTGATGATGGTGTAAATACCTGTGTTAAACTCATCAAGTAGGAGCCTGTGAGAGGGCAGCCAAAGGTCTGTAACCAGCGACAGATGTGTTGCCATAAAACGCCCCAGTAAAGACAAGTTGTGTCACAAAACACCCTGCTGAAGCCACTGGCAGGACTGGGATCTGCAGGGCTGAGAGCACAAACCTCAGATGCTTGTACAAAGGGGCAAACCTGACCATTGAGGAGCATGATGTTGGTGACACACCACCCCAGGATCCCATCACTGAGTCCAACGAGACAGAGGCCATCATTTCTCCTAAGAGACACTGTCACACACTGTTGTACCCTGGGGAACCCAATGCACGTGGCTTTCTCGCCAGCAGCAGAGCCTGCTGGTAGGACTATTCTGTAGCTACAAAAAATGCATCTCAGGCTTCCTCAAGTAAGTAGAAACTTACTAAATCACAGATTTTATCTCACTTCAGCTGCAGTTCACCACTGTCTGACATTCTAATCCAGAAGGTTTATGGAAATGGCCGTTAACCTAAGGAGAATTTGTTACTGCCCTGAGAAGAACATGGATATAAAATAGTGTGGTTCTGGTCTGTACTTGGTATCTCTGTCATTTTCAAAAGGATCAGGGCAGGATCCAAACAGAGGAGGTGGAGGCAGGGATGAAGAAAAGCATTTGGAAACTTCACTTCTTTGAAATGCTTTGCTGAGCGTTGGCTTGCACCCATGAGCACCTCCAGTGACCCGTGTTCGCAGAACCAGTGCTGCTACAGATGAAGGTTTCCTGGAACTCAAACTCTTGAACCACGGCACGACACTTCCAGTGCTCCCTGTGGCAGACCAAAACCACAGTGAACAGTGGATTTAAACCACTGATCTGTCCTAAGAGCCTCCAACCCATTCCTGTTCGTTTGAGGTAACTTGCAGGGTTATGCCTGTGCCTGCAGGACATGTGCTGGGTTACATCACATCTGCTGCGCTGCTACTCCGAAACCTCAGCACCCACGTCCTCCAGGAGCTTTTCCATGAGTTTATCCCACATGCGGCACCATGACCCACTGTGCTGCTGCCTTATAGCCTGGATCCACAGCAGCAGGCCCCAGCCCCACAGATGGAGCCAGGAGAGGCTGCCTCTGCTCCAGGACCTTTCCCATGCTGGCAGGTCTGACCACACTACTTGAGACAGCCATTCCTCCCTGCTGCACACGGGTCTCTGCCATGTTTAAGGGCAGATTGCTCCAGCCTTTTGTGTCTGCCTTTTGCTCCGGTGATGGTTGGCATCAGCGTGGAGAAAGGATGCTTTCACAGAATGGTTTGGGTTGGGACGGATCTTCAAAGGTCATCTAGTCCAACCCACTGCAATGAGCATCTTCAACTAGATGTTGTGGTTGGCCCAACGCATGACCAAGCGTCCCTGGGGGCAGGTCAGATGGGCAAAGGCTCACGCCTGCTCCAACACTCTCCCCCTGTGGCCCACATGGTCCTCCAGCCTCTGCTTATCCTCCCCACTCCTGCACGCTCCAGGCTGGTTCCCCACGCTGCCAAGGGCCCCTAAAGAGCAGCTCTTACAGTCTAAACACAACGTGTGTATAGCAATGGTAGTTTATTTAGCTCTGAAACATTCAGAGCAGTGAAATCACATCCCACCTCCCTCCTTCCCCCAGCCAGCCAGCGCTCAGGAAAACTCACATACCATGAAGTGGGCTTTAAAACTAAATCACAGCTCCACACAGCAATGTAGCATCTGACAAGATTCCACAGCTTTCCCACTGTCCCACTCTTGGTTGCTTCTCTAGGGCACTGTGCTGTGGCTTACTGCAGCACACGGCAGCATGGCCTTCCCTTGGCTTTTGCTGTCTTGGGCTGACACGTACCACATCGTTGTCATTTAGCTGGCCTGAGGAGTGCTGGAAGGGAAGGCAGCAGGCCTTTCTGCCACCGCTGAGCCTCATGCTCACCCAGTAAGAGGTAACGTTAGCTTCTCACCTTGTGCCCCTACCCATGAGTTAACTGAATAAGCCATCTGGCCACTGTTTCTTTTACTCTCAATCTCCTGTTTCTCTGAAAAGCCAGCCTCAGGGGAATGACACTTACTGATGTTGTCCACAAACAGGACACAAAACATACCAAAACCAGGTACAGGGAGACCAATGACCACTTTCCTTTTGCTGCATAAGGGACCTGTGAGCAGGAAATAGCCACAAGTCACAGTGGGAGCTTGCATATACTTTGGTGAGGAAAGGAACAAGAGGATGCTTGGGAAGCACTTCTTCCTGAATGTGGCAACAACCAGCTTTGGAAGCAAAATGCAGGACTGCCACAGGTCTGCCCCTAAAACACCTGTATCTGTTATGCAACAGAGCAGGCATCTGGGCAACTGCATGGAAAACAGCAGTTCAGACAGGAGACAGTAGGCAGCAGGCCCATTGCTTGTAGTGGCACAAAAGCCATCAAAGCAGCTCTGATCTTCCCTGCTGAGTGATCTCACCATGAACAGATTCTGCAGGGAGTTTGTGACAGCCTTCTCCAAAGGAAACCCAGTGCTGAGCAGCTCGCAGAGATTTTCTACAAGAGGCTGAAGAGCCACCTGAGCCCAGGATGCAACAACGCGAGGTGCAGTTCCCGCTACTCCCTGTTCCACCCTCAGGCAGGACGGTATTATTAGCAAGTAAGTTACTGAAAAACTAGTTTCTCAAACAAAACTCAGGACAGATGATAAAAGGCAACAGGGCTGACTGTGTAACTACTGCTAGGTTTAAATAGAAGCATACATATCCATATATACATACGCATTACACATATACGTACTTTCACTGTGTTTCTGTGTGTGAAGTGCTAACTGACAGAGGAATGCAGCTTTGAAATACCATGGGACCTCACCAGCCTATGCTACTGCTCTAAGGTAGTTTTAAACTTAGCTGGAATGCACCCAGTGGCAAATGGAAAACCTGTGTTACCTCTAGCAGGATGTCCACATGAGAAATGGCTCTGAACTTACCAATCAGATAACAGGCATAATGTACAACACTGGTTGCACAGGGTTTGGAGTCGATTCTGTTCAAAGGACAGATCAAGAAAGTCAATAACCAAGCTGCAATTTCAGGGAGAAAACCATGTGACATCCGACAGCTACCTAAACATGAGATACACAACATATCTGTGCTATGTTAAAACAGTGTAGTGAGATTTTCTCAATACAAAAAGTAAATTAATACACAAAAAGAAGATGAAAAAAATGGAAATAGTTTATTTGCTGCATAAGGAAACTTCTGGCAAATTACATATAAAGAAACTTGCTATGCTGTAGTATATAATTTTCAATATTCCACAAAGATAATTGTAATAAATATACAAACCAAAACAAAGTAAAAGACTAAATCCATCAGGCAACCTACAAAATGGTTCATCAAGTTTTATACTTTGCAGCATTAGCATGCTTGAAATCTTGTTGTTCATTTTGAAGTGCTGCAGCAAAATTCTTTTCACATTTCTTTGGAGCATTTTCAAAACCATCTAACTACAAAATACTGTTCAAAATTAGCAGGCATGAGTTAAACCACCCAAGAAAAGTAACACCAAGGTCTAACTGATGCAAAGGTGTGATTTTTCTTTTTGCTTTTAAAATCCATTTTAGTTTTGCCAGGGTTAGGAATTATCTGGTATAAGTGCACTATGAGTCCAGTCAGCCTGAGGCACTGCTGACTCTTTGTCATAATATGACTCTATATAAACTTCATTGATTATATAGCTCTGGAAGATTTCTCTATTAGAGACACATCCACTAAGAGGAATAATAAAAATACCATAGTGAAGCTGCAAGCTAGTTATGATGGTTGTACCCTCAAGTGCAGTGTGTGCTTAGAAACACTTTTTCATGGTTTCATACTATACCACATCAGGCATTTTTATTTGACATGAAATTCAAAAGTGCTGACAAAGTCTTCACTGATGCCCCTGGCCTCTAGAAACAACATGCAGAAATTTTTGACACCTTTTGCTGTTCCCTACCTATCATTTCTACATCTTTTCAAACAGGAGGCTGAACTGCATTTGACACTTCACTGCTCTGGACCACGCTGACAGACAGGTTTATTACTCCATACAGATCTTTTACAAACTGAAAACACTTCACTATGCTTCAGTATTAGCAAATACTTGGGGGTATAAGAAGAAACTCTACAACACGATTACCTAAAAATATTTGTTAATAAGCTTAATGCAAACATTATGTAGAAAAAATGGTTTAGTTACCAAAAAAAAAATCATTATAGGGCCAATAAAAATATACTGAAGAGAAGATCTTTACAAAAGTGAGGTTAGGAAGTATGAGGCATTGACATTCACTGTAAACATCCTGTGTTCATTAGAATCCCTTATCTAAAGTGTATGTTCTGGTTTTGTTCCTGAGCTTCATGGCCAACACTTGCATAGATAGCTAAACCTATCATAAAGGGTTGTTTATACAGGCATTTCTGTACTGCTTTGTACAGAACTTCCTTAAACTAATGATTTTTCCTTTTTGAAATAGTTTCATTCCACTACCAGGCAGTTCAAGGAAACTATGAAGCATGGAATAATTTCTGTGCACTTAGTGCATTGGATGGGTTGGGACACCTACCTTATGGTGTGCTAATCTTAAATAATATTACACTAAGAAGTATAGCTGTTTGATGTTCTGGCGTAGCATAAATACCTCACTTCTGCTCTGCCAAAGACTGCATATGGCAAAAAGTCAGGAATCTGAGTGCTACAACATCAAACAACTAAATTAATCCCCAATAACAAGATGCAGCTTATCAACAGTATAGAATATAGAGAATTTCACCTTTACCCAGGCAACATGAGTGCTTTCCTCGAGATTAACCTCCCTCTATTGGAGAAAGCTAGAAAGTACTTTCGGGTAAACATGACAAGGAGTGGCCCGAGTAAAGTCTGAAGCACATACTTGTATTTTGGATATGAAAGGCAGGCATGTGCTTACTTACTGCACACATGAGCACACATGAGCACACATGGGAAGTGGTAGAGACAGACAAAAAATCCCCCTCACAAACAGCACAATAACACAGAAGCAGCAAATCGCCAATTTAAAATCTTACGTTAAGGCAAATCTAGATAAACACCCATAACAGGATTAAAAAACAATGGGAGTTTTCCTAGGGTTTTTTGTTTACTTTTTCTGTGATTGGCTTTTACACATTGACAAAATTTGCTTCAGCACTTTCTGGACATCTTCATCCATTTGACCCTAGACAAGGGAAAAAAGAAGAAAAGAATTCAAGCATCTCTCTATTCCTTAAGAAGATTTCCAAACTACTTTTGAGGCTTGTAAATCAGATCAATTTCCCAGAAGGAAGCAGTGTTAAATTTGTGCTTAAACAGTCACACCTTTTGGGTAGGATGTCTTTAAAAAAACATGCAAAGTTTTTACTTCATCTGCAGAAGAAACATCTTTCATTAAAATACCGACACTGTGTAACTGACAATATGAATCCATACCTGCACAGCATAGAGAAGATGCATCCTGTAAACTGAGACTATTTCCTGATGTTGCTTCTTTGTTTCCTATAAAATAGCAGAAAGTCACAGAGCATTCAGAATTGTTTAATTGAGAACTTCCCAATTAAGTTTAGAGAGCTCTGGGGGATTACAAACCATAGTCTTATGCATGCATGAAAAACCAGCTCAGATGGCACTATGTCCCTAGCCATCCAAAACATAATTTGCTTCAAAGTGTTGTCCACAGAAACACTAATTCTACCCATTCCAGTAGAAAAGTGAGTAAGACGACATCAGTTGTAAGAAGCACTGAGCTGCAAAGATGTGGAATGAGCACATACTCCTGAGCTTAACAGCAACCACAACTGAGGAAAACCAACAAAATTCTGACAAATAAATCTCCAACTGCACGAGCTCTTCCCTGAAGTCAGTGACCCACCTGTCAGCTAATGCCTTCCCAGGGAAGAGGAGGTGCTTACAAAGGTCTTATCCCATGAAATCCTCTGTTAATTACTCTACATTCAAACAAGGATCACCAATCTCCTTTCCCATGATCAGAGACTGCCAGATCCCAGAATCCATCTTCCCAAACCAATGTGAAGCTGCTAGGAAAGCTAGCCTACAGGAATGAAAGAATGCTTCTGTCCTGTGTTAAATCCTGACCACTTTCCTGACATGTTACATATCTTTGCATATTATACTACTTTGCTGGTCCTTAAGCAGTGGGAGATGAAAGGTCCTTTGGGACTTGATGGACTAGGATAAGAAACAACGTGGGCCTTTACAGTGACAGGATGCAGTACTTAACTGTCTGCCTACTTGTGCCTCCCCACTGCAAGGGAATTTTTGTGGCCCATAAGCATACTGACTTTTCCTTCTGCTTGTTGGGGAAGGTAGGAAAGCAGACACCAGGTGAGCCATTTAGCACGTCAGGCTGGGAATTCTCCTTTGAGAGTCACTTCAGAGCTCTTAACAAAGGCCTCTGGTGAGCACTACCTCCTTTTCATCCTCAGCAGTGAACTGAAGTGCTCCTTGGGAGAGGCAAGCTCTCCCAAGCTTTTGTTTTGCTCTCAATAGCAGTTATGACTCAACCCAGCTTAGAAGACTGGACCTTTGATGTAAAACCAAATACAATTAAAGACAAACCTTTAAGCAGTTCAGAATTTCAGAGAATGAACTGTGCTTCCCTATAAAAAGACGGATTTGCTTGATTTGAAACTTCATGTCTTCAGTAACCACTTTCTTCCAAAAAGTCAAACTTATTTTAGCTTAAAAAATCAAAAGATTTCAGCTGATGAAAACATTTGAGAAAATGGACAGATCTATCACACATCAGCCATATTCACAAGTAAGGGTCCCAGCAACAGGTCTGGTCACTCCATGCCGCTACGAGTACACAAACACTGCCTCACTATTGATCTGAGAAGGTCTATTAGGGAAAACAGCTTTCTTTAGTTAAGACTATATCTAAAGAACAATTTGTGATTGTGAGCAAACAGAGAAATTACAGAATTTCTGGATGAAAATTCCTTTCCCTGTGCTCTGTTTTAAATGAAGCAGAGTGAGGAATGGCACACGTATCATCAGAGAACTGGGAATAAGGGTGGGTTTACAAGTTATCACACTTACTGCCAGTTGGTTTTGCAACTGCTTCACTTGTTGTTGTAATGCCTCCAGCTGCTGGCTTTGTCTTTTAGGGGCACTGGTTGAGTAGGAAAGCTGAGAAAGGCTGTTCAATGCTTCTTTCAATTTGCTGATTTCCTTGGACATTTCGTTGATCTAGGGAGGCAAAAAATAGCTTTTCATGAAAAGCTGCAAGGCATACTGTATATTCTTGTGGGTCTCACCTTCGGGTTATTTGTGACTCACATTTAAGATGTGGGGAAAAACAAGATGTAAGTAAACTGGATGGACAGAGACATCATGTAAGCAAAAAGTTACAGTGTTTCTCTATATAGCCCAAACAGGTTAAGAAAACTGGGGCTGCTCAGCCTGGAGAAGAGAAGCTGCGTGGAGACCTCAGAGCAGCCTTCCAGTGTCTGAAGGGGGCTACAGGGATGCTGGAAGAGGGACTTTCATCAGGGACTGTAGCAATAGGACACGGGGTGATGGGTTCAAACTTAAACAGGGCAAGTTTAGATTAGATATAAGGAAGAAGTTCTTTACAGTGAGGGCGGTGAGGCACTGGAATAGGTTGCCCAAGGAAGTTGTGAATGCTCCATCCCTGGCAGTGTTCAAGGCCAGGTTGGACAGAGCCTTGGGCGACATGGTTTAGTGTGAGGAACCCCTGCCCATGGCAGGGGGGTTGGAACTAGATGATCTTAAGGTCCTTTCCAACCCAAACCATTCTGTGATTCTATGAAAATGCATTTCTTGCTCTGAAAGCCAGGAATATTTACTAACATTTACCACCTCTACAAATACTGCTGCTGAACACAAGACATACCAAAAACAGGCCAGCTATTCACAGCTAGCAAAATACATAGCTTTTTATAAAGAAATGTGTAGTAAGAGATATGGTAGCTGCAGAAAAAAAATAGTGAAGTAATGCTACGGTTAAGATGATTCAGAATAGTGCATTTTTGTTCCTTTCTGATCTTTTGTTTTCTTGTCTACTTTGGAATCTCCTTCTGCTGTAAATCCCATTTCTTTGACTTCAGCTGCCTGAATAATGTGAACTTAACCTAAGCAGAACTTCAAAGAGGTAAACTGAAACATCATTCATATCTCCACAGGGGAGGGAAACCAACTGTGGAGTTAAACATATTGAAAACGTCTTTGATATCTGAATTTTAGATGGGCAAATGCACCCAAAAGTTACTCCACTCTGTGACTCTTGACAGAGCATTGTCTGTTATGTTACCATCCAACAAGTTCTGAAGTCTGAACTCATGTAACTACCTCCAGTGCAGTGAATCACTAACCTTTTTATCTTTATCCTCTTCCAGTTTTGATGAGCTTTCAGAACATCTTTTCATTTGAAGAAGATCTTCTTGAGCTTGGTGGTACTTTTGCTGAAGACCAGCCACCTCCCGATCCTTTGCTTCAAGCAGAGTGTGCATACCTTCTTTCTCTTCTTTCAAGTGTGAAACTTCATTTCTCAGTTGCATGGCATCTAAGGACGCTTTTTCCTTCTCATAGATTACATCCTTCAGTTTGGATGACAAAACACTAACTTCACGCTCTAGTGATGACTGCAGCTTTTCAAATGTAGCCTTGGGTACCATTGCTTCATTTATTGCAGCCTTTTCTTCCAGCAATTCTTTCTGTAAGTTTCTTAATTCACTTTCCTTGTTGGTAAGCAGTATTTTGAGCTCATTTATTTCTTCCTCCATTTCCTTCAGAGTGTTTCTGAGTGCATTCATCACCTGCTGGTGTTCAGTAATGGGCAAAGAGTTTTGTTTCTGAGAATCTAACAGTTGCTTTAGTTCTTCTGCTTCATCCAATACTTTTGTGTACTGGGATTTCATTTCTGATAACTCATTCTCTGCTTTGTATTTCAGAGAACTTGTTAGTTGCATCAGTTTCTCATGTTCTTCTCTAGGAATGTAGTCCAAAGCTATATCATCCTGAGTTTTTCTCTTCCTATAGCCTTCAAGCTCTGTTTGTGCTTCTTTGTACAACTGAGATAGTTCACTAAGTTGTCTGTTGAGCTCATCTATCATTCTGTGCATCCCATCTTTCACTTCTCCAGCTTCAGCACCAGATTCCAACTGTGTCTGATTTTTCAGCTTGTCCTGTAGCCTTTTAATCTCCTCTTGCCCTTCTTTGTACCTCTCAATCAACAATGCTTTCTCTTGATTAATGTTATCAATAACTGCACAGTAAGACATCTTCATTTCCTCACACTCTTCCACAGACAATTTGTTTCCCACATTCTGTTCTCTTTCTTCAAACTTTTTCTGTAGCTCTCTCACTTTCTCTTTTTGTCTTTCACCTTCCTCCAAGGCTCTCTTCAACTCTTGCTTAAGCATTTCAACTTCTTCACATGTAACCTTTAACCGATTTAGATCACAACTGGTTTCTTCACTTTCAAAGGAAACAAGACCCAGCTTCATTTGCCTTTGTACATTCAAACCCTCTTTCATAGCTTCCTCATACCTGTTTTGAGTTTCTTGGAACTTCAGGTTAAGATTGGAACCATTTTCTGAAATGTTTGTGCTATTTAAATGATCTGTTTCTGGGACTCTAGACTGGACCTGAACTTCTATCTGCTTTCTTTTGTCTTCGGAATTTTCTAATCTCCTCTGCACATCCTTTAAGTCTTCCTGGAGGTACTTTGTTTTTACCTCACTGGGGCTTGTCAACTTATCTTGAGTTTGTGTGGCCTTTAATGTAGACTTAAACTCCTGAACTGAGAACTCATTTTGTCTACCTGCTGTTTGCTCAAATTCTGTTTGAGTTGGATGATTAGATTCTACAGTTGAATCCACTTCTTTAGGTGTTCTTTCCTACGCAAAAAGAAACCCAAACAATGGCACAATAAAAGCAAGTACATGATTATACTTTTTAGAACAGAGTAAGCAAGGAAATCTTGCCACATGCTCCAGAGACACACAATTAAAGCACCATGGAAGAAAGTTTTAGAAAAATTCAAAGCCCAGCTGCTCCCATTTAGTCATCTACAGCAAGAGAAGGTAGCAAGTGCCAAGCTCCTCTGAAAGTCTGGGCTGATCTCCATAAGCTAATAATCAAAGCTATGCAAATTAAAATTCTGCTAACACAACTGTTAACAACATCTTTTAGAATGTGGTTATCATAATAAACAAAGTTATTCAGTAATCTATGGGAAAAGTGAGATGATCAAAACACTGACTTAATCCCTCAGGGCAGAGTGTTTTACCATCAACAAGCTCGTTAAATTGCCTTCACAGTACATCTCTTTAAAAATAGTAAGCAGCTCTTTGTTCTGCTAGCACATTAAACAGAGCACTAGAACAGCAGAAAAATAAGCCACCTGTAACTTGTCCTGCAGCTCCTTATTATGCAATGTCAAAGAAGCAATTTTTGCTTGCATCAACAGAAGTAGATCTTGCTGGTCAGCTTCAGAACTCACATCCAATAAACTATCAGCACCTTCGGAGAATGAAAACAAAAGATTTAAAAGCTTCAAAAAAGCTGGAATACCAGCTAGTTATTCTAACCTTTCAAATTGAACAGTGCGTTCCCATGATCACTGAGTGTAGCAAACTGAGCAAGCAAACTGTTCCTAGAACTCTTCCCCCAGAAACGTGTTAGATCACGCAACAGAAGCAGGAGGTTTTGGTGGGCAGCTGCTAGTGAAATTACAAAACATTACTTAGTACTTGCTGTGTCTCTGCTTCAAAGTGGAAAGGCACAGAGGAATTCTGACCAGACTGCAACACTTCACGCCACCTAAAACACCTCACCAAACATGAAAATAAGGATTAAGTGTTATTGTATACCTGTTGTGCTGTCACTCAGTCTGTCTTTGCTGTCTCGATTCAAGGAGCTGAATTCTTCCTGTTGAGACACCAAAAGAAAATGCTTTCACAGAGAGCAGATGTAAAGCTGGACAGTTCACCAGAAAGCAGCATAGACAGTATAGATCTCGATGGATAAAGCCTGCCAAAGCAGACTTCTTTTACTTCTAGAATCTTGTTTAATTGTAGAAGGTGGCCAATATTTTAAAGCCATTCAAGTTCCATTGCCCAATTCTCATTAAGTATTAATGAAATATGGGCAACTATCTCACAGATAGTTTGGAAAGCTGCAACCCCTGTGATAAATAATAGCAGCATATTGTCATGTATTAAAAGAAAAAAACCCAATCCTCACTACCATAAGGTGAAGATCAGATAGAACACAACCAACCACTTCTGCGGTATTTTTTGGTGAAAGGGTCTCTACTTTTTACACTGCACAATGCCATGCACTTCGCTGGTATTACCTAATGAGCTCTCACAGCATTAATACTTATTTTCATAACCATATTCCTAACATATTCAGTAAAGATTAAAGTAATCCTCACTTGCTTTATAAATATAATTGAAATAGTTTTGGACTCCTTTTTGTTCCTAAAACTCAGCTAATTAATTCACAGGAGACTGTACAGCAAAATGGGTTATTAAGCAAAATGGAACTATACTTTCATTCCCTGAGTTTCATAAGAACAGAAAACTGATACCTTGTACACCTGATCAGCAAAGAAAGCCTGCCCTTTTCCAGTCATGGGAGTCGATGTTGATGAGTATGGAGAGGACAAATCACTAATCTGTAAAATATTTTATATAAATAAGTACGTATACATACATGTACATGTAATTACTTGTGTAACATGTGCCCATATATACAAACACATTAAAGAGTACTTTTCCCTGCACTAACCTAAGTCAGTCAGCTTCAAAAAGCAGATCTAATAATTCAGTGCTTTCCTGAGTCAGTATTACATATACAGGGTAGCTGTTATACAGGTAACACTCCAGTTTAATATTAAACCTAACTATTATGCTGCATTTTTTATACTATATATTTATATATATTTTATACTTCAGATGGAAGAAACAATTGTACAGTAAAATTTGTACAGTTTATCTTAGACCATGCTGCATTTCAAGCAATTTTACTTGGTTAACCTAACCAACATGTCTTGTATGTCACATGTTGTCACATGTGTCATGTGTTTTCATGGTGTCATCCTAATTTCAGGAAAAGAACTCTTGTCAAGACGAGCACATAACAGTGACAGAGGAAATCCAGCCCACATCATTCACATCATGTTCAAAACCCTTTTCATCCCTTAAAAGCATCTCAAAATTGGTCTTTTCTTTACCTGAATAGGACTGATAGGAGGAGGTGGGGCTTTGCGTTTTTTTGGAGTTCCACTTCTTTCTGAGCTTAATTTAGAGCCTTGATCATGCTGCAAGTTTCACCAGCCAGAAAAGGTAGGTTTGTTAGTTTGGTTAGTAAAGTCTCAGCAAGTTGGTTTTTTTATAAAATAAAAAGTAAAAAAAAATCCCACATTAATATCAACTTCTGCAGCTCATGCAATGCCTTGGGGTTTTTTTTCTATGTAAAGACCACGTCTATTAACACAAAGATATTAAACATGCCTGACAATAAGAACCTGCCCCCTCGTAATCCATGCTTCAGTGGAAACAAACAAGATTTAGTGAAAAAGCAGCAGCTGACAATAGGCTTAGCACTAGTGATCTTAAAGACTTCCATTAATACACAGTCCAGTCATGCAATTCTTAACAGCTACCATCTTTTCTCTCCACCAGCTTCTGCCTGAGCTCCCAGAAAAACCCATCTCTCCGCTCAGAGAAAGAACGAACCAGTGCAATGCACCCTTATCCACTTCCCAGCCACCAGCAGGTCTACAAGGTCTACTTGCACTCATGATACTACATAAAAAATGTAAGAAACAAATTCAATTGCCTTAATCTTCTAGGGTTCTCACGGGTGAGGGTCTCCAGTCAGATGTAATCAGGGATAACCCTTCAATTGCATGTTTTAGAAATAGGGAACTTTCCTTGATCATCTTCTCTGCAGTTTAAACAGATAAGGAACCCAAAAGCCAAACTCCTACGTTACACATGAGAGAAGTGGTGTATCTTGCTGTCACACATGTGCACACACACACATGTCCTCCCTTGTCTCACTGAGAGTGCTGGCTGCTGTTAGAGAGAGAAGCTAAAACTGAAAGTGATGTTTCTGAAACATTAAACAAGCAACAAAAACCTTTCATATTACAGAGCAGTCTATGGCAGCACATCTCACAGTGGCACTTACTACTGTTTCTAGTCAATATTTTGTGATTTTAAAACCAAAAGGACAAATACCTGCTTTGCTCTTGTTGGTGACTTTGTATCTGTGAAGCAGAAAAGAAGTGGCATTAAGAACAGCTATGGAAGAAAATGTTACTTGCCATTCCCTAACCCATCTCCCAGCTCTACTTCCCACACCATAAATACTTTGTTTGGTTTCTCAATTCCTCTCTGAAATCTGAGAAATACATTTTTATTTTCCAAATTCCATTTGAACCATATGGTTTCTCTATTGCTTTTTGGGTTTCATGCTGAGATAAAATTTTAAGGGTTGTGACAATTCTTATTCCCCTATAGTCTCACACCATACTTGAACACTATCTCCTACTTCAGATATCCATCAGTTTGACCATAAAACCCTCTATCTGCATTAGTTCCTTCTCCAAACCCTCTACTCAGGAGCTCTATGTTACTCTTTCATATAATAAAAAAGGATCTATTCCAAATTGTATGCAAGACTTCATAATGCTGGTACATCAGCTTACCTTTTCTTTCTCCAAAACACTGTTTCTGCCCTGCTTAGTACTTTATCCCATGCTAAATATTACAATCTATGGCAAAGATCTCATTTTCCTGCTTTTGGGAAGCCTCAGATAGATCATCTTTGAGATGGTTTTTGAAACTTTTCAAGCTACCTTATGAAGTAAACTTGTGCATTGCTAAACACACATGTAGACAGGTCAAGAAGTGACAAACCGCAGGTCTGCATCTCTTACATACCCACATCCTGAGATAACTTTGATGACAGGAGATTCTGTATCCCTGTATTCTCGGAGAGCTTGGAGTAATGCAGGGCATTATGTCCAAAGACATCTACTAAACTGACATCTGCACCCTTCTTAAGGAAGGTTTCCACCATGTTAAGGCTACCAGCTTCACAAGCAATCATTAAAGCAGTCCTGGATAAAACAGACAAAACAGACACACAGAGGAAGTGTCAAGAGTGTACTCTTTAAGCAGCAGCTCATTGTTTTTCAGGAAAAGAAGGGTGACAGTTACTGTGCAATAAGGCCCAAGATTTTATCACAGGGTATTGACATATACATGTAACCGTTGTTTTTCCTTACGAACACTGGCCTACCCAACCTCCTCTTCCCCACACTCCCCAGCTGGACCTTCTGCAAAGACCTGGCATGCTTTGCACAGGTTTCCAAACATGTCTAAAAATGGGTTCCCAAGGCTAAGAGGAGACTCATACATAGAAATGGCTGCAGGATAAAGTCAGACTATCAAATCTCACTGCCACACTCCAGTTACAGCTCTGCAAGTGGTGGCACATGAAAGCTGCTTTCACATGTTGCTTTTAAACAAAATAGATAAACGGATTTCAAACAAAAAGCAGAACAAACCTCAAACCCTGATCTAATCAGGGTTTTAAAAAAGGCCCATTAGAGTACCATTAGATCCCCTCTCCAACACAGGGTAGCTATACAGTGCCAGATCCTACAGTAAGGGTAGCACACAGAAGGAGTGTTTGTCTTCCTAACAGGTTACATCCCAACTACTTGAAGGGGTTACAAGAGATGTACAAAATAATTACAAACACACATAAAGACACACCTTTCAAGCACAACCTAATACTGCTTTTCTGCTTGGGCATAACTCTCCCTTCTCGACACAAAAGCATGCCTAATGGGCTGGCCAAGTTCACTGGCAAACACATTCCTCAGCGCAGATATGAAAATGAAAAGTTGCGACAGTGATAATATTTGCTAGATATTAAGACAATTGTTTGACTGATGAATTAAACATACTCCCCGTAGTGGGTGAGCCCTGGAAAAGTAATGGCTGTTGCAGTACTGTGCTAAAACACAGTGCTGACTGGCAACTTGGCTAACACTGCCAGAGTCACAGGGATGATTTTAGATTACCAAAGAACTCATTTAGTCTGCACAAGAGATGAAATCTGAGATGCCATTTTTAAAGGTTACCCCCTTCCTCTTCCAAAAAGGCTTCTCCTTTTTTCAGTAAAAACTTAACCACTTTTGTGAACACAAGATGCTAGAGTGGCCACTCTCCTTACCAGAAGGAAAGCGAGAAGTAAAATGGTATATTATGTCGTTTTCTTGTTTCTATACACAGTACTCTGCTAAAAGAGAAAATACAAAAATGCAAGTCTGTCCTATCTATGACAGAAACACTTTCATCTAACTAAAGTAGAAACTCTTAACACTGTCCGTTGATTAAAGAGTAAGAGAGTGAGGGAAAGGCAGAGGTCCTAGAGCAGGCAGCACCTCAGGTTCAAAGCACTGATGATAAATGGGTTTTCTTTAGACAACTTAAAACAAAAGGCACACTAATAAAGTTTGGACTGATAAAAAACAAGTTAGGGCTCAGTCTTATCCGCCCAGGTGCTGCCAAAGAACAATATGAGCATTGTGCCACATACAATAATCAAGATTCCTATCACATGTAAGTGCCAAGTCTTCTCAGCATCTTGCTTTACCTTCACAGTTTAACCAGCCAGTCACAAAACAGTCCACAATTTTTAAATCTTCATCAGTATCATCAAAACAAAAGCATTTTTCACTACAAGGATGTTGCTTTTTAAAAAGTTTTCTGACACACACATATTACCTATTAATGCAGCAAATCTCTAAATGGCACCTTCTAAGACAACAGCATCTCCATGTAGAGATACGTACATATCTCTATATGCGTATACTTTACTGTATTTTTCTTTTGCTGCTGTGGCAGCATTATGGTGGAAAAAAGAATCCTCCACAGATGCTGTGCCTAAGTAACAGTTTTAGGATTTAAGCTGCAGAAACTAACTCATGACAAGAAAAGAGCAGCAGTTAGAACTGGGACATGTACAAAGTGATATGTGGGTAAGTGCTATCAATCAGATTCTTGTAGGAATTACTTACAAATGGGATTTACTGCTATAGTAGCCTAAGGGAAATCTTACAGGCACATTAGTTTTACAGTTGCATAGTTTCTGTTTCACCTTTCCTTTTAGGCAGAATTCTGTAAGCTTTCTCAATAATCAGTATATGCTGTATAGTACAGAAGGCATTAGTTCACTGTTTTGGTGAAAATATATATATATATTTCACTATATATGTTTTCACTAAACAACTATTTTGGGAAGGATTTGAGAAAAAAACTTAATTTGACAGCCATCCTTGCAGAAGAATTAACATGTTAACCCTGCTGTACCTTCCATTTTTATCCCTGGTGTTGATGTCTGCTCCATGATCCAGAAGGTGTTTGCAGACTTCTGTATGACCATTTTGTACCGCAAGCAGCAGAGGTATGTTTCCATCCTAGGAATGCATTTAAAGAAACTCTGAACAATAATCCATCCACTTACAAATACCACTCTGAGATTTCAAGGTCAGTCATGAACTTCACTTCTGTACAACACAAACAAGATGCTACCAGTATCTTTTTCTGATGTACCGTAAATGTAGCTGCGTTTACTTTAATTCCTTCCTTGACCACTGGGGATGCAAAGCATTAGGAGTAGACTAGAATGCTTTTTGTTGTTTGCTTAATGCTATGACATGATTTTGGAACTTTAAGTAGTTTTACAACAAAAATGGTAATTTTAACAAAGTACAAGGCAAAGTACTTAATTTCATACACAGAATAACGTAACTGGAAGACACCTTTAGAGGTTGTCGTGGTTTAAGCCCGGCCAGTAACTCAGAACCACGCAGCCGCTCACTGATTCCCCTTCATTCTTCCCCCTGCTCCCAGAGGGATGGGGAGGACAACCCCACCTCTGCTATGGCAAACTGCAGAAGGAACTTCCTCCACAAGAGAAATCCAAGAAGAAATAAAAGCATAGCACAGCTTTGAACTGCTGCACCTGAGACTGACTGGAGTGGAGGGTGGTAAAAGTTCTTAAGTATCTGAAGTACACAATGGATGAAGAGGTACATACCAAATCTTTGATGTTAATTGGACATTTGTGTTCACACAGAAGTTGAACTGCCTGGAGACAACCACATGAAGCTAAAAAAATAAAGATGACAAGCATGAAAGGAAGGAAAGACTAAAAGGATGAACAGCAAGATGTATGCAGAAATACAACTAACATTCATGGCCCAAATTATCATGAGAAGATATAACCTTTGAAAACTGAAATAAAAATCAATCTAATCTGAAGTATTCCAGTGGCTATGCACTTGCAAGTGCGCACGTTAAGTTTGATCACAGAATCATAGAATAACTGTAATTAACTGAAATTCAGTATTTGTGGTGTTTATAAAAAGAACCAACCTTGAAACTTGTAAAGAATCAGATGGAGTCACTAGATTTATGTAATTAGAATCTAAAATGCTCCACCAGGCTGAGGAGCTAGGAATATGAAGCATGACAAAATAATACAAGCTTTCAACAAAGAGGTTACCTGCATAATGTAAAGCTGTTTTTCCAGAATTGTCAGTGTTGTCTGCTGGACATTTACTCTGCACAGTTCAATAAGGAGAAATAAATGAAAAAAAAAAAGGCTATTAGAAAACCACCAAGAAAATAAAACATACGTTTGATGCTAAGGACAGAGCGCAGAACATCCTTGACAAAAGTTCTATGGGCTACTCCATAGAGCACAGCTTTCCTCTCTGCAAGTCTGGTCTCCTCTTTCTTGGTACCAGCTTATACTGATGCATTTAATCGTGTATTATTTCTGTTGAAGGCAGTAAGGCTCCATTCGCATTTGTAAAACTAAAGCATCAACAATCCAGTTACGTTTTGTGGTGTTATAAGCCACCAGGTACTACTGATCAATCTAGACTTCAAAGTAATAAATAAATAGTTTTTAAAAAAGTCTAATTTCAAATCTTTATCCAGACTTGTTTTGGTACATAAGATTTTAGTTTTAGATTACATCAAAGAAAAAGAATCAGAGAATCACAGAATAGTTTAGGTTTGACAAGACCTTCAAAATCATTGAGTTCGTTGAACTCGTTAACCCAACACTGCCAAGTCCACCACTAAACCATGTCACTAAGTGCCACATCTAGATGTCTTTTTAATACCTTCAGGGATGGTGACTCCATCACTGCCCTGAGCAGCTTGTTCCAATATGTTATTACCTTCTCTGTGAAGAAATTGTTCCTAATATCCAATCTAAAAGTCCCCAGTGCAGCTTGAGGCTGTTTTCTCTTGCCCTATTGCTTGTTACTGGGGACAAGAGACTGACCCCTATGTCACTACATCCTCCTTTCAGGTAGGTGTAGAGAGCAATAAGGTCCCCCCTGAGCCTTCTCCAGACTAAACAACCCCAGTTCCCTCAGCTGCTCCTCATCGCACTTGTGCTCCAGACCCTTCTAGACCTGGTTTCATTGCTCTCCTTTGGACACGAGAAGATACGACCCTGAAATAATCGGCTTCCAAAAATATTAATCTTGTGACTTTCAAATGTAGCACTGCCTCCAACACTTTTCAATATATTCTAGGAAAACAGGTTCACATAGATTACCACATTCTGTAACAAAAAGATAAAGATCCTGCCCGTCTAAATTATTTAGCCTGGTTTAATTCACTTCCATCATGACAAGATTAGGCACTCCTCACAGGTACAGTTTATATCACCAAGCTGGTCCACAGAAACAAAGTGACCTGAAGAGTGTGAACTATTGCAGAATATTACCAATGGGTTTGCACTTACAGACATATTTAGAAATCTGCATATTGTAATAAAATCAGGAAAATACAAACAAAAGCACTCCGTGGTAGTAGCTAGCAAGTGAATGGCCAGCAGATATTTAGTATTAAACAGACATCTAATTGCCGAGTTGATGCTGCTGCATGCGATACCATCAGTGACAGCTTGATGTCACTGTTTATGCTGTAAATGGGTTTGTGTTGGAAGTATTAAATATTCACAGTGAAACCCTGAATAAGGGAGCCTCAGTGGCTAACGACCAGAGAGTCGTTTAGGTTGGAAAAGACCTGATAACCCTTTCCAGGTGTGGAGGAACAGGGGAGACAGCTTGCAACGAGTATGGAGGTGAATCAGTGTAACTGGACAGTATTGTCAGAGACATTGACAGGGGTCAGTCAGCACAATTGGAGAGCCCAGAAGTAACCAGGGAAAATCAATCTAGAAGTTCAGATACAAGATCCATTCTCTTTCTGTACAACTGCTCTCAAGTGGGTTTGCTACAGTCTTACTGATAACTCCAAATTCCTAAAAAGCTCTCCCATTCCTCTGATCACATCTCCACCAAAAGTCATCTGGCCTTCTCAAACGGAGCCAAGATGGACAATGTCTCTCTCCTTGCTTACTAAGAGATGTCTTCAGCCTCAATACCACAAGAATCTTCTCTTCATCTTAATTTCTTTATTTTCTTTCTCCATTCTTTCTGCTCCCTCTCTAAACCCCTCATTGTCCTTTGCCTCATTCCACTGAAGATATGAGTATTTCCGTTTTTTCGCATCTAAATTGGTTTTGTTTCTTCTCCTTTTGACTTCAAAGTTAACAGACATTTCTGTGGTCAACAACAGACAGAAAGCATTCCAGTGGAACAATATCACAATCCCCCTAGAAGTAAAAAATCCTTTTCCTCTATATCTCTTAATCCATCTACTTGAAAGCCATCCAACCACACAGACAAAACACAGGAAGTTAAAAGTTGCAACCCGCTTGAAACCCAACCCTGATATGTCAGATCAGCTGCACATGGAAAACTCTGTTTGTGGAACATTCAAGGGAAGATACCACACTGTTTTCTATCATCATCCATTTTCAGTGCCTAAAAGGTCTTTAAACTCAAGCACATCTCTTGATTGCAAGGAGACAGGGCAAAAGTGTAAGAGTGTGATGCAGATTATTAGGAGGAAATGTCCCAATATCTAGTGGGACCAATCTAGAAGAACAAAAGGAAAACTGTGAAAAACAAAAGTAAGTTAATAGTATACTTTACCTGAAGTAACCTCTTAATGCAATCAGGGTGGCTGTTCTTCGCTGCAAGATGTAAAGCACTGTGTCCTAAATGAATAAAAGCAAAGCAAATTAAGCATTCAATCACACTAAAGCACAGGAATAAACTCTTCCATGACTAAGGCAAAATTCTGACTTATTCATCTTGTTCCTATCACAACATGTGAAAGTAAGGATAGAGAAAATAAAATAAAAAGCTACATCAAGCAGAATGCATTTGTGACACACTGTTGTTCAGGCAGTTTACAGAATAATCTTGATGTCTAGCTTCATAAAAAGGAGTAATGCAAACATTGTGTCAGACTATACCTTGGCAGAGGTAAATCTAAGATTGTGCAGTTTTGCTTCTTAAAATCCAATTTTCTTATATTACTCAGCCTCCCTTGTAGAAAGATGTCTCTCAAGTGTGTCCATGATTTCTTCCATTTGGCAATGAAAAAGGAACCCAGCAAAACCAACCAAATTAACTGCACTACAACGAATTTGTATCATCCACGAAGTGCATGTAGAAGGCTCAGAACATGGCCTACTTGGGTTTGCATCTCATAATTCTCTCTTCTGTTAATGTATTTAGCACACATGAGTGCACGTTTAGCTATGCAATAGTGATTTACTGACTATGGATTTGTGATGGAAGACTGCAGTCTATCCTCTTGTTCTATCTTATAGAGCATCTGAAAAATTGAAGAGGCCAAGACAGTAAAAGAATAAATTATATGTATAACTAAGAAAAGAAGGAGACAAGATTTAATACTTGATGCAGGCAGAGCCACTTCTGACAACAGACTCTCACTGTATATAATGTGACTATCACAGCCAAGGCTTTCCCTGATGAATACTGGGTCAACACTCTCAGGTGAGAGCAGGCAACCTCTTATTATCCAAACAACTAATAAATCCTGAGGCAAGATGAAGTATGAATTCTGAATAATAGTCTGTATCATATACATATATTCTCTTACCATTATGATAATCTGAATGGTTCTTCGGTATCACAGACGTTTCCTTATAGAGGCAAATCATTTCCACATATGACAGAACCCATGAGCCCAACATTTACAGGTCATTACTGGAAAGACGGAATGCTGACAGCTCATTCAGCTGACAGCTCATTCAGGTGACTCAGCTAGCCAGAGAAAACGCTGGGCACAGATTCTACCGAAATCTACTAAGAAGAGTTTGCCAGTTTCAAATTCAGCTCCCATCATTCTCTTAGTGAAGCAGCAATTAAGGCATAGGACTTTTGTGGGCTGAAACAGCGTACTTAATAGCTCTCAGCTCTCTTTTGGCCTGTATCAGCTCTTTTCATAATCCTGAGGAAATGTCTTACTGCAACTCCTGTAACAGTTAATGGGGTTAATAGCTTGGATGCACATAAAAGCAACACGGAAGATCTTGATTTAAACTGTAAAAAGCCTCACATGAAATTAACAAAAGAAGTTGGGGGAGGGAGATCTTTTTCCTTCATTTTATTTAAAAACAAACAAAATTTTAAAAACAGTAATATTCTAGCAACTATTTTACTTCTGGAGTCTGCTATAAATCCTGACATTTATAGTATTAGGTCAAAAGTTTTTAAGGGCTTTAGAATCTGAATTCTATATGCAGAAAAGCAAGTATGCCCAAACCTGCAAGTGTTACAGTTGCTTTTCCTACACAGCATGTGGGGAAAAGCAGTGTTGTCAAATCTGTAGTTGTACTCTGCACATCGAGAACTGTAAAGGCAAACTGAGTGTGTTATACCACATGTATAGGTTCACAGAGGCATACCTGCACCATCTTGGGCTGTCACATCTGCACCATGTGTCACCATGATCCTGAGGCACTCCACATGCCCTTTCATGGCTGCCAGGTGAAAACTGGAAGAGAGGATTTACATGTCACTTTTCTTTTATTAAGACCTCCTTTCTCTTTCATTCACAAATCAAGTACTGGCAAGTTCTCCCCTCCCTGTCCTTAGATCTTTTGGCATCCCTTCTCTGCCTCCCAAGAAGATAATAGCTCTGAAAGTGAAAGGGCAAATCGAGAAGTTTTTGTAGCCATACTTTTATGCCACACCTCAAATCCCATGTTCAGTTTTGGGTCCCTCACTACAAGAAAGACACTGAGGTGCTGGAGCAGGTCCAAGGAAGAACAATGGAGATGAAGGGTCCGGAGCACAAGTGCGATGAGGAGCAGCTGAGGGAACTGGGGTTGTTTAGTCTGGAGAAGAGAAGGCTCAGGGGCGACCTTTTTGCTCTCCACAACTACCTGGAAGGAGGTTGTAGTGAGTTGGGGGTTCGTCTCTTGTCTCCAGTAACAAGCAATAGGGCAAGAGGAAATGGCCTCAAGTTGCACCAGGGAAGGTTTAGATTGGCTATTAGGAAACATTTCTTCATGGTTGTTAAGCATTAGAACAGGCTGACCAGAGAAGTGGTGGAGTTCCCATCCCTGGAGGTATTTAAAAGACATGCAGATATGGCACTTAGGGACGTGGTTTAGTGGTGGACTTGATGATCTTGAAGGCTTTTTCCAACCTAAACAATTCTGATCCTACACAGCCTGTTTTCTCATTAACCCACGGACTTATGTGCATCTAGTCCCACACAATTTCTAAACTAATGTCCCTAGTGATGCAATATATCCCCACAGAACACCTTGGCTTGGGCATTAATGATGAAAACATTTGCAATGATTGATTTTGCTCTAGTCATTCTACTCAGTCCCAATGTCCCCATTTCAGTGGACAAAATTTGTTCCTCTAAGAGGGGATTGAGCTCCTAAATTAAACTATATGAAGTTGTGCTTCTGCAATGTCCTTTCCAGAGCTCATCTTTCTTCTGTGTAAAGGGAAAAAAACCCCAAACAAACCCAAACCTTAGTGCTTGTGAATATCACCTGTAAAAATCAAAGCTACTGGATATTTGTATTTTTTCAACTTTTGGCATTGCTTTTCACCTCAAGCACCTGCTTGTTTGAACAGCAGGAAATTGCAGAGGTTACCAAGCATACCATGACAGGATGCATTCAACAGCATGAATTACCAAAGATCTAATTACAGAACAAATCAAAGAAGTTATACTGAATTCAAGCCTTTTTACAACTGAAGGTTCATGTTTGACACCTCCTTGGCACTTCAAGATTCACAGAAGCAGTCCTATACACATGCTGCTGACTTAAGTTTGTTGGGAAGCAAAAATGAAGGAAAAGCTTCTGAAAACAGATAAGCTCATATCCTCCTGATGCATATCATGTCAACACTGTGAGTCTCAAGATACAGGCACAATACTGGCAGACATACTGCTTCCCTGTGAGTCCTACTAATACCAGTGTGGTATACAGAGCTGTTTTCCAGTGGAAGCAAGGTAAAAAAATTCAAGACAAAAACACTTTCATTTACTATGAAATTGCATGTTAACATTTTGAACTTTCAAAAGTCCCAAACTGAAAGAGCCAGCATTCCAGAAATGTTTTCTAATATCTTTTAGAGGAGACGTTCATTTTTAACATCATGTGCCCCTGTGTTATGGGGATTTTCCCCTGGAATCTAAAGGGAAAGTCAGAAATCATGTAGCCACACCAACCACTGTATTTAAGAGTTTACATTTTGAAGAATGGCTTCCTCTAAATGTAAAAACTAACAAACACTGAAAGTTCAGCTTGATAACCAGGGAAACTGGGAATAACAGGCAGGAATGAAACAGATATTTCTGGCACATAGTACATGAACTGCAACTCTGTGCTTCTCTAAGCCATAGACTTCTTTGCAACCTTCTTGAAAACTCAGCACAGAAAAAGACCTACAGACAAGGTCTGGCAAAGGGTGTAGAATTAATCAAAACAGGAGTGCTTCTGGAACAGAATCCTTTACCAAGTACAGCAACTACCCCACTTCCTACATGGAGTCCTTCCACACTGACTGCTCACTGCAAATGGTAGACAGACGGAACTTCAGATTTGAACCATTCTCTGCAGATATAAAAATATCCTGTGTGCTCATCCTCATGCTTACTACTGCCATAAACATAGTGAAGAGTTAACACTTCGAAGAGCATAAAAAGCACTGCTGCTGGCTGTTCTCTAGTCACTCAAAATCAAAACTTCATGTACTTGGTGACCAATGACTGTGTAAATAATCTTCTATAGAAAACGTTTCTCAGGCTCTGGGAAAATGGCTGGGGGAGGGACACAAAAGGAGCCTGACAAATTCCAACACCTCTGATTTAGCCAGCAAAACATACCAGCAAATACAGAAACATGTTCTGATACATTTGTGTAGATACATAATATGCCTGAAGCCACTTATATACTAGGAAGGCTGTAAAGCATGCACTCAGCTCACTTACACTTGACAATATTCATAAGAATAACAAATACCTGAATATTAATAACTTGGCTAAATCTGGTACACTGATGTTTTATGGACAGACTGTGTACAATGGTGCCAAATGCAACATTAATACACAAGAGCAAAAAAGGTTTTATTTAGGTAAAATCAGATGGCAAACGCAGTATCAAAGAGAGAAGAAAAACTTAACCCCTTTCAGGCTACACACCTATGAACACCACATCAGTCCCACCAACGCAAACAATTCCCATGCCAGTTCTCATCAAGTCCTCACACACCAGATGCTTTGTTTCATGTGGTCAAAAATATTTTAGAGTAAGAAATGTTTAAAAATATCATTTCTCCCAAACTGATGAGATGAAAGAAATATCATCTCGAAGTAGTAAAAGTGGTGTGAAAGATGAGAGAACATGTACGAAGGATGTAAAGATCTGGTGAGAGCAAGAATATAGAAGCTATGTGGAGAGTCCTGTGAAAAGAGTGGCTGGTAAGGTTTAACTCTTAGTCATTAATAGCGACCTAAGCCCAGTAGCATTGGGCTGCTATAGCTCCCTCCCAATTACTTCTCCAATTATTTCTGTGTCCCCTCCCTACATGCTTGTACTGCTACTACCCCTTGCATAGCCCTGTAGTGAGGTGTTTTTTCTCAGTAATCTAAAAGCACTTGGGAGAGGAATGGGGGACATGGTTAGTTAGCTGCTGCTTTAGTAAACTGAACAGGCTTAAAAGGAAATCAGCCCAGCTCTAGAGGGAGACGAGAATGACTCCAGACTGGCATGAACCTATTACAGTCATATTTATCATAGAATCATAGAATAGTTAGGGTTGGAAAGGACCTTAAGATCATCTAGTTCCAACCCCCC